TAGCATACAGAATCCAGCCAGTGACTGGTTCTTTAGACAGGAAGCTGATTAGATGATTTCTATGACCTTTGTAATATGAGGACATCTTGATCCTGTTTCAGTGTTAAGGTCATGAGCTAGCGATCCAATGCATAAGATTTCCCAAAACTTTTGCCTTAATAGGCTAATTTGTCCCAAAATTAGAGCGGGAAATCACTCGGTTCGTTGTGAGCAATAAAAAAACGCTCTGTCTGTTGGGAGTGATGTTTTGCGAAATACTTCACCGACAGGACTATCAAGTATAATTTCGAAGTGTGAAAATCACTCGGTTATTGTTGAGAGTGAAAAAAAAATCACTCAGGCTGAAAGGAGTGTTGTTATATAGATAATTTCGAAAATGTGTAGTAGAAAGTTGATCAGAAAATGACCTTGGATAAAAATCCGTTGTCTCATTGAAACGTACAGATGCTATGTAAAATAGAGCTAACACTTACGCGGGTAAGTAGTGAATTAACTCCGTAGAGTGTTACAATCAAAGTTATAAACAAAGTCTACAAGTCCTCAGCTTCTACGTTCGCAGGATCTAGATCAACTTTTGCGGCTTAGAAGGGGTGGAAATGATACGCAGTATAAAGTTTATTGGCTCAGTTACGCTGTAATCAAAATGATATGCTTAACTTCTCAAGGAAATTAAGGCATGGGTGTTTTTTCAATTTCCCTCAAGAAGTNGGTTCGTTGTGAGCAATAAAAAAACGCTCTGTCTGTTGGGAGTGATGTTTTGCGAAATACTTCACCGACAGGACTATCAAGTATAATTTCGAAGTGTGAAAATCACTCGGTTATTGTTGAGAGTGAAAAAAAAATCACTCAGGCTGAAAGGAGTGTTGTTATATAGATAATTTCGAAAATGTGTAGTAGAAAGTTGATCAGAAAATGACCTTGGATAAAAATCCGTTGTCTCATTGAAACGTACAGATGCTATGTAAAATAGAGCTAACACTTACGCGGGTAAGTAGTGAATTAACTCCGTAGAGTGTTACAATCAAAGTTATAAACAAAGTCTACAAGTCCTCAGCTTCTACGTTCGCAGGATCTAGATCAACTTTTGCGGCTTAGAAGGGGTGGAAATGATACGCAGTATAAAGTTTATTGGCTCAGTTACGCTGTAATCAAAATGATATGCTTAACTTCTCAAGGAAATTAAGGCATGGGTGTTTTTTCAATTTCCCTCAAGAAGTTGAGGGGTGGCCTATATTTTGAGGATTTAGGCCTATAGTGACAAAACTTGAGTTAAATAATGACTCTCAAAAGTTTATGCGATTCCGAGTAGAAGAATATGTAAATTAGGTCACGTGACCTTTAACGGCCATTTTGCGCAAAAAAACTCAAATTAGAAATAGCACTATTTTATAACAGCAGCCAATCAAAGAAATTGCAACCAAACATGTCCCTAGATGAACGACTAGACATCTGTGCCCGGGCTTTGTTGAATAATTCATTAAAAGTGTAAATAAACGGAATTTTGTGCTAGTATCCTGTCCTCTTATCAAACGATTTTCGAATTTCGTTCCTGTTTAAAAGATTAACTTAAAAGGTCCGGACACAGACATGATGTACCCACTAGACTCATAACTATGATGATAACTGCAACTTCCAGAAAGTAATTAAAAGTGGTGCCATATTGCCAAATAGATTTTTGTGCTAAAAATAGCCTTAATAGGCCACGTGACAATTAGTGACTCCAATCATCATTCAAAGTTGTTAAACTTATACCCAGGAAGTCTTTCCTTAAGTTATTTTGTGGTATATTGAAAGCTTAAGAATTTAGACCACCCCCTGTTTTGGGGGAATTAAATAGAAGACCCATGCCTTAATTTTCTTGAGTACAGGTCGAGCGCGGTTTTGTATCAAAACGTGATCATACCTCTTAACTTGTTACCCATATGTGACTTATTCTTGTCATTTATGTACTTAACTTTGAACTGTTGGTAAATGGTTAGCCTGAATGACTGTGACTGAGGCCTTTTCTAGGCATGCGTTGTTTTAAAAGAGAAAACGCAGCAACAAAGGGAAAAAAAATGGTTGGCGGAAAAGCTATTTAACCTGATTTCAAAAATTTATGCAAGCATCTCCAACAGATTACAGGTTAGTTTAAAAATTGTTCGTAACAATTGTTTCGATTTCTTTTGTTTGACAGGTACTGATAGAGGTTCATTTGCAGGATTTCGCGCCTGTAAATGTTTAAATAATTCCTACAGATTGCATTTGTTTGGGGCTTGCACACTATGTGAAACAGACGGACTAAAATGTCAGGATGAGGTTGTGAATCTTTCAGTTGGCTTTTGGTGGCGCTGGAAAGATAAGACACACTTAGAACTGTATAGAAACTTCAGTAAAAACGTAAAGAATTTCTCCTTTACTCCTGAATTACACAAAGGAAATGACTCCGGCATTGAATACCCGTACACACTTCCTCAACCGCACATATGTCCCATGGCAGATGTTTGTAAGGGAGGTTTGGATTCTTCATGTGAGTCTGGTTATAAAGGACCATTATGTGCAGTTTGTGGTGATGGATATTATAAACAACTGAAGAAATGTAAGCTGTGCCCGACAAAAAAATGGATGATCGGACAGTGTGCAATTATAGGGGCATTAGTTATGTTACTGGTTATACTTGTGGTGTGGAGAAGCAAGAAAAAGTGCAAAAAGGACGCTGGACGATCTTTCCTTGACGAGGTTCTCGGAAGGATTAAAGTTATTATTGGCTTTTATCAGGTGACGTTTGGTATCATGGAGGCGTTTTCATACATAAAATGGCCTGAAAGTCTTAATGTTATTGGACAGTTTTCCCAGATAATGCAGATAAACATCCTTCAGATAGCTCCCCCCCACTGCATCCTTCCTGGCTTGGGAGTCGACGCATTGGGAAGTTTGCTTGCAGCTATGGGGTTGAACATTGCAGCAGTCATAATCGCCCTTACTGGCCTTGCCCTTGCCTACTGGACATCGAAACGACATATGTTGAATGAAGAGGAAAAAATGAAGAAAAAAGAACGTGTTAAAGGGTTTGTTAAGAGAAGTCTGTTTTTCTTTCTTTACTTGACCTATCTGAACACTTGCCTAAAAACTGTTCAAGTCTTGCCTCTTACCTGCCATAAAATCTGCGTTGACCAAAAAGGTGAAAGCTGCGTTGAGTACCTAAAGGCCGACTACAGCATTGACTGCAAAGGAGAGAGGTACAAACGATTAGTCATCGTGGGATACTGTTCCATTGTGTATGTGATTTTTCTGCCTGCTGCCGCTTTTATAGCAATTTGGAAACGACAGAGAGCGGCGAGGGAAGCTGAGGACGAAACAACAG